CCTACAAGATCACTTTATAATTATTGGTAACTTAGGAGAAGCGCTTCAGAAAGGGAGATGTACTAAAGCACTCAAGCATGGCAAATGTCACAATTTTCAAAAGGCAAAATTTCCGGAAATGTCAATTCCAGCCAAAACTCTAGAATGGATAATAAATATATATGTGTGTGTATATATATAAAATCTATAAAATGTATATAATATGTATAATCTAGAAACAATTTTAAAATAGTTATCCCTCAGAGACAGCATGAGTTCTCAAAATAATTCATGTCAAATTCAATTACCTTTTTGACTGAGTAACCATGAAAGAAACCAACATAAATTAAGCATCACCTATTTATTCAACAGCAAACATTTATTAAATAAACATATGCCAGGCACTATGCTAGAAACTTTACATATGATGGCTATTTAATTCACATGAAAATCTTATGAGTGAGATTCTTCCATTTTATAAAAAAGAACCAGTTTACAAACATTAAAATAACCAAAATCATGACAGCTATTAAGTAGAAGCCAAAATTCAAACTGAAGTCTAACTTTCCCTTTTTATATCGTCTGGCCACCTCATGCAGAAATACATGTATCCTCTCTTCTGCAAGAATTTGACAAAGCATCTTGTGATATCCCCTGTAGGCAAGACTAATGTAATGTAACTAGGGCAAAAAAGCTAGGAGATCTGTAATGCCAAAATAACTATTTTAACTAAAGGTTTTGTATGCAGTAGGTAGTAATCCACAGCAGTAAGTCTTTTTTATTTTTTTTATCCTCACCCGAGGACATTTTTCCATTTTTTGTACAGACAGAGTGGGAGGGAGAGAGAGGAAGAGAGAGAGAGGGAAACATCGATGTGAAAGGGACACATCGAGTGGCTGTCACCCGCACGACCAACCAGGGCCGGGGACAAACTGCAACCAAGGTACATGCCCTTAGCAGGAACCGAACCCGGGTCTCTCCGGACCGCAGGCGGACGCTCTAACCGCTGAGCCAAACCGGCCAGGGCCACAGCAGTAAGTCTTAAGTCATTTTTTTTGCTTCCATTACCATTAATATGTACAACACTCTATTAATAACCATTTCTCACTAAGGGGGAAAGAAGACTGTGCGCCACGCATAGTCTGAGAAAGCCCCAACCTAACATTCCAAAAGTCTAAAGAAAAATACACCTCTAGTCACATCGCTGGACTACAGTGAGACACCTGTCCCAGAGCTTTGTACTTGGCCCTCTCTCTCCCCCTTCAAAGTCTTTATTAATGACCTGATGAGATATTATAGACAAATATTTGGGTGACAAAGTTAAAATGAGTAGCTAATCTAAACATGGGGAATCATGCCTTCTTCTTTTTTATTCATTTTTTGTTAATCCTCACCTGAGGATCTTTTTTTTCCACTGATTTTTAGAGAGAGTGGAAGATAGGGAGGGAGGAGGGGTGAAAGAGAGACAGAGTGAAACATCAATGTGAGAAAGACACATCAATTGGTTGTCTCCTGCACGTGCCCTGACCGGAATGGGGATCAAACCTGCAACCAGTATGTGCCTTTGACCAGGAATCAAACCTATGACCATTCAGTTGAGGGCCCATGCTCTAGCCACTGGGCCACAACGGCTGGGGCTGCCCTATTCCTCTTTACATGCCCAGGACCTCAAGTGCCTGACCTACAGTTCAATCAATGTATTTTGAACTATAGAATAAAAATTTTAAAGGACATTAACAGATTTTAACCACTGATGCAAATCTATCAAAGTCAAATTTAACAGGTCAGATACATAGGGACAAAAAAACAACTACAAAGACTAAGATAGCAAGCCCAATATCAATCAGTATGACAACTGCCCCCAAAAATCCTAGAACCTCTCTACTTCAGTGTTAGAAAAGGATTTTCAATAGGAGAGGTGACAGCCTGCATTTCTCTGCTCAGTTCAAACCTCCTCTGGCATCATTTCTGCAGCTGAAGGCACCACACTTTAAGGAAAGAAGACAATGAATAAGTACATGTGAGTGTCTAGGAAAGACATCAAAACAGTGAAATGAGGAGCACTTGAAATCTTGCTCCCTGGCATACGTCAGTTTTACTCAAACTGTTACAAAACTTCTCAAAAGAAATAGTGAAATTATTTAGAACAATATCATAAGAGGTCCAGTTAAAGGCACCAGAGCTACCCTGGCCAGTTTGGCTCAGCGGTTGAGTGTCGGCCTGTGGACCAGGGAGTCCCAGGTTTGGTTCCCACTAGGGGCACGTACCACCAAAAACAAACAAACAAATAAATAAACAAACAAACAAACAAACAAATAAAATAAAGGAACCAGAGCTGTTTATACAAGACAAGACTCATGTGACAGCTATCTTCAACTGTCAGAAGAGATGTCATGTGTAACCAAGATGCAGTGGCAGAACTAAGACCGGAAACTGCAGGGAAACAGATTTTGGCTTTACACCCAGAAAAACTTACTGGAAATGAGACCTGTCTATAAATGAAACCGATTCCCTCAGGGAATAGTTTCTTACTTTCTATATCAGTTTATCACACCTCCAAGACAAATGTGGACAATCACTTGACTGAAATACTAAACAAAAGACTGAAACAGAAAACCATAAACTATCTTAGTTCCTCTCAGTCATATAATTCTTTGAAATATGAATGCATGAGAGTGCACTTTGCAAAACACAACTTATTTTAAAAAGATAGGTAGTAAGTACTTTTGTAGAGAAAAAAAGAGGAACTTCCTATCATATCTTCTGATGCGTGATCTCTTCATTTGGAAATTAAAAGCTTACAAGGATTTATTTTATGGATCACACTAAAGTCAAATTTCTCTGAAAAAAGTATAAGAATGAGATGAACTTATATCTAAGAGAAAGAGATTAGACATAATACTGTTTCCATACATTGGTATACAACAAAATCCTCAATTCTGTAATATAATCCAGATACTGTTGTAATGAGAGTTATATAAACATCAAAATTAGGACTTATAGTTCAATACTAGATCTACCATAATTTCATCTTCTCCTGTAAACTGCACAGGACACTGTTGATTCCTAGGATTTGGTAAGGAGAATGTGCTTGGACATGGGTGGGGCTTCTGAGACCTCTTCCTGGAGTTGAGTTGGATGTGAGTGGATCTCTTCTATGGACAGGCTCCAGCAGTGGTTTTTCTGATGTTTTAAAATCTTTAGACCGCTTTTAGTTTCAAGGGGTTTTTCAAATGTATAAGGAAAGTGTAAGTTTTAGGTTAGAGGGCTAAATTATCTTAAAAAAAAAATTGAGAGCTCAATTACAAGAGTTTTCTTTTATCTTAGATCCGTAGCATAAAGGAAGCCACTACAGGGGTGGTTTACCAATATCCAAAGGCGGTGTGACTTAATTGCTCAAAATCTAAAGTTGGACCTGGGTTCAATTTTCAGCTTGGGCAGTATGACTTGTGGCAATATAACCACCAGCAAATTACTCAAGTTAACCAACCCTGTTTCCTCACCTGTAAAATGGGGCTAACAAAACTATCCACCTCCTAGGCTGTTACTAGAATGAAATGACAGAAGAAAGGTAAAGTATTCAGCATATTAAGAACTTGATGTTAGCTACTGTTATTTTACCTAAATGAATTTCTAAACTTCCAAATCATCACAGAAATGTATTTACCCTATAAATCTCATTAGTAGCACTAAGTAACAGCTCATTATTAAAATTGTGTAAGTGTACAAGGATGTAAGGGAAAAAAAGGAGCTTCCTGACATTAACTTTTTCAGATATGCTTTACACAGGGGTAAAAATAGAATATGGAGTCAGAACTGTAACATCTTTGTAAATTCTAGACTTGGTAGTTTAATAATAGCAGCAAGCATCAAATGTCATAACAATTAGAACATTGTGAATTCTATTAATAGCGTTCATGTTTTTACACACTCCACAATCATTAATTAAAATCTATTGTGCAATCTGGGACAGTAACAATAAAGATGAAGAGCTTACAATGGTCCAGGTCCTAAGCGCTTTTATGTATATTTGTCCAGACAACCCTATGAGCTAGAAAGATACTAGATATTATGGTCATTTTAATGGATGAAGAAAGTTTGGCAGAAACAGATTAATTAACTTGCCCAAGATCACACAACTAGTTCAATGGATGGAGGTGGTATATGAACCTAGACAATCAGGCTCAAAAGTCCACTAGAGTTTACTGTCTCTAACTACAATGATAGTTGGATATTTTTCTTCGAAGACGTGCAGCCTGATTTCTTTGGGAGAGAGGGGAGACTGACTACAACTGCTTCAAAGAACTAGTTTCCCTCCCAATAAATGATTACAATCTAACACTTTTCTGAGTAACCACAATGTAACTGCAGAGCAAAGAAGAGAAACAGTATTCACATGACGTTTCCATGCGAATATGGGTCGACCGACCTCGCAGAAGACGACTGACCCACAAGCCAGAACCACGCAGGCAGTAACGAAACTGCGTAACCCACACCGGCAAGCGGTCATTTCAAAATCCCTCCAGAGGTGAATGTTTTGCTAATCAGCACGTTACTCGAAGACAGGACAAAACTGAACTTGCATAAACACTTAGTCATCGGTAAGCGCTTAAATTTCAAACCACCTAGTTCGCAAAATCAAATCTGCGGCTAAGTTCCCAATTCTGAAAGAAACAACCACCAAAAAAGGCGGGGATGACATTTCGGTGACCGTTAGGGTGAAAGCACCTAGGGCCCAAGCGGAAGAAAAACGAAGGGGAAAAACTAGCCCAAAGATGGGAACTCCACGACCTGCGCAGCCGGGGCGCTGGGGACTTTTCGGGGCTCTCCACTCCTGCCAACAGTCTGCCCTTACGTCTAAGGCTGCCCCGACCCCGCGTGCGCCCAGGACGGATTCGGTACAGCAACTGGCAGGCGGAGGGCAGGCCTGAGATCGGCGAGCCCAAGGCGGCCGAGTCCTCACGGCCGGGCCGGGAGGGTAGGGGCCCCGAGGCGCCACCTCCCGTCCGTGGAGCCCGCACCTGCAAAGTGGTGATGTGCTTGTCGTTGAACTTGTTCTCGCAGTAGCGCAGCACCAGCGACGTCTTCCCCACGCAGCCTTCTCCCAGCAGCACCACCTTGAACGAGTAGGCTCGGCCCGCCGCCGCCCCGCCGCCGGCCGCAGCCATCCCGTCGCTTCCCGGCCGCCCGAACCCTAGAGCCGCGCCGAGCTCCCCGCGGCCGCCGCAGCGCCTTCACCGTCGCGGCCGCCGCAGGCCCCTCGCACTGGCCCACAAACCCCGGGCGCCGTCTCCACCGCCTCCTGGGGCGAGGCCTGGAAGGGCCGAGGGAAAGTCCGAGAATGAAGGGCCCCAGCAACCACGTCAGGCACCCGACGAAAGGCGAAGAACACTCCCTCTCCACCTCCCTCTAATGGCGTCTCCTTCCTCCTACGTCACACTTCAGTCACATGGGCGCCGCGGCCGCGGGCGGGCCCTGGAACCCGGCCCCGGAGAACGTGCCTGGACGTGGGCGGGGCTGCGGGGGCCTCCCGGGGGCGGGGCCGATGGAGCGGGCGTCTGCGTGCCGTCCTGGGCTGGGCCCTCGGCCTCCGCCGCCGCTCAGCGTTTGGTGGGAACCTGCTGTTCAGCCAAGCCCAGCTCAGGTGAAATGTTGAAGTGCAAGACGTTGTCGCTCTTGCTCCGGGAATTCTCGCCAAGCTAATGGCCTCTCTCACACGGAGTTGCTGTGAGCCAAACTGCTAAGTGCCCTTCAGTATCTTACCAGTATTTTTCTGTGGGATCCCAAATTATAACTTCTTTTAATTCCCCAGACCGCCAGGTCTCCTCGTCTTTCAGGTCTCAGCTTAAATCGGTAAGGCTTCCCTGACCACCCTTCCTCTGTCCTTCCATCCTCCTCACCCCCAGCCAAATGAGATATTTCGTAACACGAATATACCTTCCTTAGCAGTGTTTACCCCACTTCATGGAAGTTGCTTTGCTGAGTATTTCTCTGCCCTTATTAGGCTGCAGATTTGTTAAGGATAACACTGTGTTAAGACTTGCCCATCTTTTAATTTCTGACTCCAAGTGCCAAGCACATAATTGGCATTTTATAAATATTTGAGGATGAATGAATGAATGGACAATACCTCTTAAGCTGTTATACCTTGGTTCCCCAGATTTTTCTGTTTTCCATGAAGCTTCTGGCATTCCAAATTGACTCCACCTTGATAGACCTGGCTTGTTTGATAATTGCTTATTTTTCCTCATCTGCCTCCTCTTTCTTTCATGAAATACACTCCTCCAAGAAACCATACTGGTGTTTCTGAAAATTTGCAACTAGAAATCTGGTGTTGGTTTGGCAAACATTTTTCCCCATCAGATTCCTTTTCCATTTTAAACCAGATGTTTGTTTGCTTGTTGGTTCATTCATTCATTCATTCATTCATTCACTCATTCAGATATTTGAAGGTATCCACCATATGCCAGGCCCTGTGCTGAACAAGATACAATGTCTTTGTCATTAAGAGCTCACATTTTAGCAGAGAATAGAGACACAGCCAATTATACAATAAATGCTTTCGTCTTGATAAAGCTGTTCAGAATAATTTGTAAACTTATATGGGCACTCAACTGGAGTAACCTTTGGAGGAGAGCTTTGGAAGCAGAGGGAACAGTATGTCCAAGAGCCTCGAGGTACAAAGAAGCAAGCATCTAAAGTTAAGCAATATAAGAGGAAGGAAAAAAGCATCAGATGAGACAGGGAAGGAAGCCAGGGGTCAATACTGAAAGGGCCTTTCAGCAAATGAAGGGTTTTAATCAAGGGAGCTGACATAATCATTGTTGACTTTTAAAAAATCATTCTGGCTGTACTGTAATTTGGAAAATGGATTATAAGAAGGATAGTGTTAATTAGATTTATTTAGAATTAGTCATTAAAGATAACATATCTTTATTAATATCCTCATGATTATATCTGAGGATATATTCTCTACTTCTCTCTGCATTCCTCCTTTCAAGGCCTTTGCATATTCATGAATATTTTCAGAATTAGAGATTTCATTTTGAAGGGGCACCTTCCACTGTTCCTTCTGAATTTTTCATATTGGATTGAAATCTGCCTCTCTCTGCCTACAATTAATTGTTCTTGACCCAACTTACATGGCATGTATCTAATCTCTATTCTTTGTGAAATATCTTCATACATATGAAGAAAGCTATATGGTCTTCCTTTAAGCCTTCTCTTTTCAATATAGCTAATTCTTTCAACCACTGTTAGAATGATATGGATCCCACATCATTTTATAGCTTGATCATCTTAGAACCTATGTACAGTACTTTGCATTTATCACTAAACCAAAACAATTAAAATGTTTTATTGTAAAATAAAACAATTTTTAAAGATAAAATATTTTTTCAGGTTTAGCCTACATTGGGATTTAAGGAAAGTATTGCAAAGGTATATGGATTGCAATAAATTTTGAGCAGAGTGGATAAATATAGATGTAGCCCTAGCCAGTTTGGTTCAGCAGTAGAGCGTCTGCCTGCGGACCAGTGAGTCTCGTGTTTAATTCCGGCCAAGGGCATGTAGCTCTGTTGCAGTTGTCCCTGGCCTGTCCTTCCATCCTCCTTCTTCCCCCACCCCCCACCAAGTGAGGTATTTCATAACAAGAATATACCTTCTTTAGCAGGCATATTCCCTGCTTGTGGTCGTGTGGGAGGTAACCAATCGATGTGTCTCTCTTACATTGATGTTTCTCTCTCTGTGTCCCCCTGCCTCCCTCCTACTCTATCTGAAAATAAATGGAAAAATATCCTCGGGTGAGGATGAAAAAAATAAAAATTTAAAAATAAACTATTTTTTTTGTTGGTAGATATGTGTATTTATTGCCATTTTATTATTTGTATTTTTTATCCCTTTTTTTCCCTTCTTTTTCTTCTTAAAGAAAATCCATTAACATTTCTTATAATACTGGTTTGGTGGTGATGACTCCTTTAGCTTTATCTTGTCTGGAAAGCCCTTTATCTGTCCTTCAATTCTAAATGATAGCTTTGCTAGGTAAAGTAACTTCAGTTGTAGGTTCTTGCTTTTCATCACTTTGAATATTTCTTGCCACTCCCTTTGACCTACAAAGTTTCTGTTGAGAAATCAACTGACAGTCTTTTGGGAGCTCCCTTGTAGGTAACTAACTGCTTTTCTCTTGCTGCTTTTAAGAGTCTCTCTTTGTCTTTGGTATTTTAGTTATGATATGTCTTGGTGTGGGCCTTTTTGAGTTCATCTTATTTGTGATTCTCTGTGCTTTCTAGACTTGTATATCTACTTCCTTCACCAAGTTAGGGAAGTTTTCTGTCATTATTTTTTCAAATAGATTTTCAATTCCTTGCTCAATCTCTTCTCCTTCTGGCACCCCAATGATGCGAATGGTGGTATGCTTGAAGTTGTCTCAGAGGCTCCTTACACTATCCTCATTTTTTATTTTATTAATTAATTTATTTTTGTTACACGTTTCTACTTTTCCCCTCATTGACACCCTCCTCCCCACTCCCGCCCCCCCTTCACAGTATTGTTGTCTATGCCCATTGGTTATGCATATAGACATATAAGTTCTTTGGTTTATCTCTTTCTGCCCACCCCCACCCCCATTTTTTAGGTTTGTCAGTCTGATTCCCCACTTCCATGTCTCTGGGTTATCCTCATTTTTTAAAAATTTTTTTCTTTTGCTCTTCTGATTGGGTGTTTTCTGATTCCATATATTCCACATTGCTGATTTGATTCTCTGCTTCATCTATTTTACTGTTGATTCCCTGTAATTTAGTCTTCATTTCAGCTAGTATATTCTTTATTTCTGACTGGTTTATTTTTATGTTTTCCATCTCCATTTTTATGTTTCCTAGCTTTTTAAGTTCTCACTGAGTTTATCTACTCTTACCCTAAGTTCATTGAATATCCTTATAACTAGAGTTTTGAATTCTGCATCTTTAAGATTGCTTGTCTCCATTTTGTTTAGTTCTTTTTCTCGAGTTTGTTTTGTTGTTTCATTTGGAACATGTTTCTGTGTCTCTTCATTTTGATAGCCTCTCTTTGCTTCTATGTATTTGATAGAGCTTCTATGTCTCCTGGTCTTGGTAGAGTGGCTTTATGTAGTAGATGTCCTGTAGGATTGAGTGGTGCAGCCTCTCTAGTCACTTGAGTTGGATGCTCTAGGTGCGCCCCCTCCCCCATGTAGGCTTTGTGCACCTTCCTTTTGTAGTTGAGCCTTGATTACTGTTGGCATGTCAATGGGAGGGATTGACACCCCTCCCCCCCAGGCCAGTTGGCTTCGAGGATTGGCCATAACCACCATAGAGAATCTGCTGTGCAGGGGCTGACCCCACAGAGCAGGACTAACTTTAGTGGGACTTTGTACCTGCTGAATCCACTTTTGAGTGTGCCACTTTTTGAGGTGGTTGGGTGATGCTTTAGTGGGGTCTGAAGCTGTCCACTGGGTGTGCTGGCTCTGGGGTCTTCCAGGACATCTAGGCCAAGGTCAGCCACTGCCTGAGAGAGCCATCAGCATGAACTACAGAGCAATTTGCAGATGGTTACTACTTGTGTTGGGCTTGGAGGTGCCCAGGAATAGACCACATTGCAAACCAAGGCCAGCTGCCACTAGTGCCAGGCCTAGGGCCACTTAGCAAGAGTATGGGGTACGCAGAGGCCAGATGCTACTTGTTTGAGAGATTTTAGGAACATCCAAAGCATGAGCCAAGAGAGGCTGCTTGTATGGAAAAGCCACTGGAAATGGTTTAAGTGGGTCCACAGATTGGATGGGACAGAGTGCCAGGGAATCAGCAGGATGGGGCAAACAGTGTCAGCCAGACTGATACTCAGATAAGGCACTCATCTGCTGGCTCTGTGCGGGGAGGGCTCAGCAAAGGAACAATGGCTTCTGCTAGCACTTCTATCTGGGAGAAATCTGCCCCTCCAGCCTTTATCCTGATGCTAGACAATGTAGTCCCTCCCCATATGTTCCCAGTACCCTTTTAGCTGCTGCCCCAGTACTGGAGATCAGAGCAAGTGAGTCCAAGTAAGTTCATGTATGGCTCCTCTAAGAACTCTCCGGACTCCAGCAGCCCTCAGACTCACTCAACTATAATACCTATGGGTTTTCACAGACAGAAGCTATGGGGACTTCTCCTCTTAGCAC